CTGGCACCTGGTTCCGGGCGGCCGGGATTAGGCTTCGGCTCCCACGATTGCGGTGAGGGCTTGGCCGCGGCGGGGCTCTGGGGCAGGAGCGGGCCGGACGGGGGGCCAGCCAGACTCAAAAGACAGATCTAGAGGGACAGCAGTGCAGTCCGCCCTGGGAGCCCCGGGGGCTGTCTGCCGGGGTCCCCGAGGTGATCAGGTTGTGGGTTCGGAGAGTCCTTGGGTCAGGGTGGGAGGAGCTTGGGCTCCCACGCGAGGGTGGAATCCTTGCGCTGGGGCTCCCGGGGGCTGGGGCGCGGCACGCTCAGGGCCGGGTCCATTTCCTTAACTTAAAGGCCCTTAGCCCAGGTGACGTAGAGTTTTAGGAGAGCACCGCGCTGGGCCCCATCTCTAGAAATTCCGATCCGACTGGTCGGGGGTGCGGCCTGGCCTGGGTGTTTCCAGCAGGTGATTTTAACGTGCGGACGGGCAGGAGCACCACCACGTGTTTCAGCGCCAGCTCCGGAGGAAAGACTCCTGCGGGCGAGGGAAAGGGAGAGGGAGAGGGAGAAGGTCCCTCTCCGAGTAAGGTGCAATTTCATTTCCAGCCTGAGGAGGAAGAGGAGGAGGAGGAGGGCAGGCCCACCGGTGTGCGTTCCCCCAACAGCCCTGGCCGGCTGGGCCTTGCTGTGGGGAGTCTGGGCAGGGCGACAAGGCTCTGGGTGTGAAACAGGAAACAACAGATAATTCTGAGGTCAGCTGCTTGTTAAGAAAAGGACACACCTAATATTTGCGTGTTTGCGTAGGGCAGTATACCTTTCAATTTCATTTGATACCCCCGAGGAAAGGCTGGGAGTGGATTTGTTTCTCCTGTTTCATAAACTCAGATGGCTAGTTAGTGATAACATTCAGACCTGGCCCAGGGCTCCCAACTTCAGATGATGCTTATTACTAGCTTTCCCCTCTGCACTAATTGCTTCTCATATGGTCTCTGGCCCTGAAGGGAGTCAGAAGCAAACACCCACCTTCCTTCTGACACCCCTCACTCCAGGGGCCTAGTCTGGCATCCTTGGTTTCCTCCACTGAATCCATCAGCCCCACTCACCCAGCGGGAGGGGGGGTGCTACTGTTTTTTTTCTTTTCTAGTTCTTTATCTCCCAGAAGCCTGATAGGGTGAAGAGGGCAGAGTTTTACATAATGCCAGGGGGATCTTTCCAAACAGCTCTGCTCTGTGCTGGGGGTTTGTCTGTAGCATTGCTGAACATTGTATGTGTTCCTGCTCATTGCAGGCCCTCCTCTATTGACTTTGTTAGATCTCTCCAACTCCCTTACCTCCATTGGAAGAGGTCTGATTATCAGGATATCGCCGTGCTGCTACCCTGATCTGTTATAAGTGAGCCTAAGAAAAAGCCAATTTCTGATCATCTTCCATGTTATTGATGGAACATTAGTTTAATCCTCCCTGCACTCCCATAAAGATAGGCATTACTACCCCATTTTACAGATGAGAAAACCAAGACTCAGACTGGTTAGGTGACTTGCCTGAGGTTACACTCTTAGCAGGAAGTGCAGTTGACATTAAACCCAGGACCTTCTGATGGCACAGTCAGAGCCTTTCCATCTCACCCCCTTCAGAGGTTTTCTACTGTTGCCCCAGTGCGGGAGCCCAGACTTGGGACCTTACCTGCAGGGTTCACCTCTAGCAACTGGGGCAGGTCACTGGATATCTTGGTGGCAAGGGAGTTTCACTCCCTTGGTCAAAGGCTTTGGAGTAAAGTTGGGGAGTTCTGATTCCCTGGAGAATCAGAGAAAGTGACCCAACTTAAGGATAGTAACAGAGGTGTACATTGTGCTTTATAGCCCTAAAGTCCCTTTAGATTAATTTGCACCCCATCCTTGTGTGGTGGGGAGGGAAGGCTTGAGAAGTTCAGTAGTAATCATTTCTAAAGTGCTCACCACACCCATCATGCTAAGTGCTTTATAGTCTTTTCTCATTGACTGCTAACCATAGCCTTATGAAGGCTGGCCCCATATTGCAGACCAAGAAACAGGCATAGAGAGGTTAAGCAAATTGCTTCAGGGCACCCGGGGACTAAATGGTAGAGTTAGGCCTTCAGAGACATCCAGTATGTCTTCTTTCAGCTAAGGTACTTAGAACGTGCCAAGGAAACTTGTAGGGTGAGGGATATGTTCATGACCTCAATTGTGGTGGTTTCACAGGTACATACCTGTTAAAACTGATCAGACTGTAACACTGAATATATGTAGATTATTGTATGTCAATGATACCTCAATAAAGCTGTGAAAAAAAGGAAAAGCATTTCCCACCAACCATTCCTTCAGGAGCTCAAGGTTCCAGAGAGAGGCTACCTGGTCGTCTTCCTGCTCTGGGGCAAGGAAGGACCACTGTGGCCTGGGAGAGATTCTCATAGACTTAGTAGCTGGTTTCAGGTATTTGGGCTGCTTCTCCTTCTCTATTCCTTCACCACTAGACATAGACTGGCAACAGGTTGGCATGGGGTTGGAGGTACATACAGATCTCTTGAGGGATTGCCACTTGGCTTCCAGTGAGTCTGAGAATGACCCCAGTGAGATTTTCTCTTCTCCCATCAGAGCCACTTTCTTTACCAGTCACTCCCAGAGCAAGAGTGGCTGAGTCCAGAACATTCTTCCTGAGAGGGAGATGGAGAAGACACAGGCCCTGTTCTTAAAACCTCCCAGTCAGGCTGCAGTGGAGCAGGCAGGAGAGCCTGCTGTGCGGGGGCAGAAGGCATCAGTGAGGGCCCGAGAAGTTGGAGGCCTGTTCACAGTGCTGGCTCCTAAAGAATGGGTGAGATGGAGATGGGGAGGTGGGGAGGGTGCTTCTTGTGGGAGGCTCCAGCAAGAACAAAGGCCTGGCCAGAGGAGAAGGTGGCTTGAAGATCCAATTAGGCCAGGCTGAACATGTTGGGAGAGGCCAGACAGCAGAGGCCCTTGAAGGCTGGGCAGGGAGAGGGGGCCGTGGTGGGTAATAGGGGAAGGACAGGTCCTGTGGGGTCATTACTGTTGGACTGGGGCTGAAGTGGGCTCTCCAGGGCCTGAACTATTGGGAAACAAGTTTTGGCTCTGTATGTGAGAGTATATGTGAGTGTGTGTGTGTGTGTGTGTGTGTGTGTGTGTGTTTATGTACAAGATTATATCGATGAGGCCCACAGGCAGGCTTGGGTCACAAGGACTCAGAGGATCAGCCCCTGAGGGTGGGTATAAGTCTCCTGGGGGTGCCATAACAAATTACTGCAAACTGTGGTGTGAAACAACCAAAACTTACTACTTATTCTCTCATAGCTCTGAAGGGTAGAAATCCAAAATTGGGGTGTCAGCAGGGCCACACTCCCTCTGGAAGGAGGATCTAGAGCAGGGGTGGGGAACCTTTTTTCTGCCAAGGGCCATTTGGATATTTATAATGTCATTCTCAGACCATACAAAATTATCAACTTAAAAATTAGCTATGAAAAAGGCTCCTAGATGTATTGAATTTCTAGTTCTGCCTGCAATTGCCTTGTCAGGGCCAGAACAGATGATTTTTGCGGGCTGAACATTCCCCACCCCTGATCTAGAGGAATCCTTCCTTGCCTCTTCCAGCTTCTGGCAGTTGCCCCCGGTCTTCAGCATTCCTTGACTTGTAGCTGCATCACTCCAACTTCTGCCTTTGTCTTCACCCGGCATCTTCCCTCTGTGTGTGTCTGTCTCTATGTCCAAATTTCCATCTCCTTATAAGGATACCAATCATGGGATTAGGGCCCACTTTAATTCAGTATGACCTCATTTTAACTTGGTTACATCTGCAAAGACCCTACTTCCAAATAAGGTCACAACGTGGTTACATCTGCAAAGACCCTATTTCCAAATAAGGTCACACAGGTACTGGAGGTTAGGACTTGAACATATCTTTTGGTGGTGGTGGTGTGGGGGG